CGCTGATTTTAAATTCGAAAATGTTTTTCGGTGTCAATATGTTAAGAGCACGATGTGTCCATTATTGTTAACCATGGTCGCCGACTTCAAGCGCCGCTAAACGATTATTATTTACTAGTAAATATTATTGCTGAATTTTTATGTCTTTTAATTGGAAATTAATTGATATGACATGATTTGTTATTGTGGCGCCTACAAGGGGACAAGAGGTTATTTTGAGCCAGGAAATCATAAATTATGTAGAGTGTGAATAATACAACCACACATTGACTTGGACTACTTGGTGAAGAGGCAAAAACTAAACAAAAGACTTAAGACACAAACGTCAAACAATTTATTTTTCATTTATTTTTTTCGTGGGTTTTTTAAAATTCATTTTTCAGGGACTAAATTTTATTTTAAGGGGTCGAATCAAGGCGTGGATTTCTTAAAATTTAATTTCAGGGCGTGGATTTTTTAAATCCTACTTTTCAGGGGTCGAATCAAGGCGTGGATTTTTTGAATCCTACTTTTCAGGGGTCGAATCAAGGCGTGGATTTTTTAAATCCTACATTTCAGGGGTCGAATCAACGCGTGGATTTTTTAAATCCTACATTTCAGGGGTCGAATCAAGGCGAGGATTTTTTTAAATCCTACATTTCAGGGGCCGAATCAAGGCGAGGATTTTTTTAAATCCTACATTTCAGGGGTCGAATCAAGGCGAGGATTTTTTAAATCCTACATTTCAGGGGTCGAATCAAGGCGTGAATTTTTTAAATCCCAAATTTCAGGCGAGGATTTTTTTTATTTTTTAAATACTACATTTCAGGGGTCGAATCAAGGCGTGAAATTTTTAAATCCCAAATTTCAGGCGAGGATTTTTTTAATCCTACATTTCAGGGGTCGAATCAAGGCGTGGATTTTTTAAATCCTACATTTCAGGGGTCGAATCAAGGCGAGGATTTTTTAAATCCTACATTTCAGGGGTCGAATCAAGGCGAGGATTTTGTAAATCCTATTTATCCACAAAAGTTTGTAACGCCGCGAAATATTAGTCCTAGACCCATCTTTAAGTATACCGACGTCATATCTCGACTAGCTGAGTCGATCTAGACATGTGTGTCCGTCCGTCTGTTCATTATAATTTGTAAACACGATACAGGCCACAGTTATGAACCAGTAAAATTTTGAACGAAATTTTGCATGTAGGATGGGTTCTGGCCAATGAAGACCCCTATTGTTTTTGATAAAGATCGGTTAATATTTAGGGGATGAAATGGACCAAAAACTTTATTTTTGTCCGATTTTCTGGTCGCTCCAGAGGCCCCAATTATGGGCAAAACATGGCGAAGAAGGGGATCGGGCCAAAGAATAAGCATACCGTTTTTGATAAAGATCGTTCAATATTTAGCAGGTCAAATGGGCCCTGACCTTTGTGTGAAAAATAATACAATTTGTATTCTATAGCCTGTAGGAATAGATCCGAGAAGTTGATAGTAGTGGTTGACCTTTAAATTGATAACAATTATATTGTCGTATGCACTGGGATGTGGGAGTTGCACTTAAATATTTGCAGACGCTTACACATTATCCACACTAAGGGACAGAAATATAGCGCTGATCGATTTGAAACTTTCCATGAGGTTCCAGTTATGGTCAAGGACAATATCCATATTTTTCGGCAATGGTCAGATAATAATTTTGAGATGAAGTGGACCGAAAACTTTTTTTTTTTGTATTTTTTCGAGTCGATCTATAGACCACTGTTATAAGCCGAACATCACCATACAACCCATGGTGAAGGTAATCTTAAAAGGTATTAGAAGGGCTGTACTGAATATTAATATTCGGATAATATGTCAGTGTAAGGAAGAGGTGCTGTTGGTCTCTAACCGGGCAAGAGGGTGCAAATGTCACGAAATATTGCTGGGAATAAACATCCGCAGAAAGTTAGAACTGTGTAGGGTACCGTATGGTAGTTGTGTAGGGTACCGTATGGTCGACCCCTTCCGACTATACTTCTCCGCTCACTGCTTTAAAATTAATCTTTCATTAACTACACCAACGACTGGATTTTGTAAAATAAATTTTTAAAGAAGCTTCGTCCATTGTTCACATAACCTCGATATGAGTATGGATATCACATAAAATCTTAAATGTTATAAGTGTAATTATTTGGCGCCACATATATTGTTTATTATTTTCCTTCCAACTAAATGATTAATATTTATTCGAGAAAAAAAAATAAATAAATTAACGAATATCATACAACATAAAACAGTGGTCCTCGTTTTGCCGCAACATGCAACTGTAACTGTGTGTGTGTGTGTGAGAGAGTGTGCCTTTACAACAAATTGTGGCAACAATCCAGAAATTTGGAGTATTGAAATTGCAGTTACTTTAGTCATGAGCAAAACAAAATAAAAACAAATTCAAACTCAACTAAGAAAAACTTCCGGTACTTTTACTTTCAGTTAAGCTTTCCTCTTTCCGAAACGACAGTCGCCTGCAAAAAATAGAAACAAACTACAAGACGCGAACAAGCAACACAGAGCGGGTAAACAAAAAAAAAAAAATAAATAAACAATCCACTAAACCCGTTCATGACGTAGATATGGAACCCAAAAAAGAGTAACATAAAATAAATTGCCTGCATACCTAAGGCAGAAATTAACGAAGCAGCCGTACTCTTTCCAGAAAGTCCCAAATTAACAAGTTTAAGTTGCAAAAAAAGGCATTGGAGTTTGAATCATGCCAAAAATCTGTTGCATGTTGGTCACGAAATTAACATGCAAAGCAGTTGAGTGGCGTTTTTTGAAGAGGTGTCGGAAATTTCCATACACAATAATATCGTGTTTACAATATTTTATTTCATATTTATGTTCAGCTCCAATTAGTGGGTTTCATACCCTCACCCCGCCTCCTCAACATGTTTACGTTACTACTTCTCTGGGATTTGTCTTTTGTTTTGGTTTTTGTAAACCCAAAAACAACAGCATTTTTCCCATATGCGGAAAATGCATTTATGTTTGATAAGCAGTGACACGTGAAAAATAGATTTAAGTGGTATTTCCTTGCAACAAGTTTGACCGGACAAAATAGATTATATAACATTGACAAATACGAATGAAATATAGGCAAATATGTTTGCATAATATTTGGAGTGGGGAAAAAATATTTAATTTTTGTAAACCCTAAAAAATAAGAAATAAAAAAATATTTAAAAAAATCCACGCCTTGTATAAGACCATAAAAACATATTTTAAAATATCCACGCCTTGTATAAGACCATAAAAACATATTTTAAAAAATCCACGCCTTGTATAAGACCATAAAAACATATTTTAAAATATCCACGCCTTGTATAAGACCATAAAAACATATTTTAAAACATCCACGCCTTGTATAAGACCATAAAAACATATTTTAAAAAATCCGCGCCTTGTATAAGACCATAAAAACATATTTTAAAACATCCACGCCTTGTATAATACCATAAAAACATATTTTAACAAATCCACGCCTCGTATAAGACCATAAAAACATATTTTAACAAATCCACGCCTTGTATAAGACCATAAAAACATATTTTAAAAAATCAACGCCTTGTATAAGACCATAAAAAAATATTTAAAAAAATCCACGCCTTGTATAAGACCTTAAAAAATATTTAAAAAAAATCCACGCCTTGTATAAGACCTTAAAAAATATTTGAAAAAATCCACGCCTTGTATAAGACCTTAAAAAATATTTAAAAAAATCCACGCCTTGTATAAGACCTTAAAAAAATATTTTAAAAAAATCCACGCCTTGTATAAGACCATAAAAACATATTTTAAAAAATCCACGCCTTGTATAAGACCATAAAAACATATTTTAAAAAATCCACGACTTGTATAAGACCATTAAAACAAATTAAAAAAAAAATCCACGCCTTTTATAAGACCATAAAAAAATATTCAAAAAAATCTACGCCTTGTATAAGACCTTAAAAAAATATTTTAAAAAATCCACACCTTGTATAAGACCTTAAAAAAATATTTAAAAAAAATCCACGCCTTGTATAAGACCATAAAAACATATTTTAAAAAATCCACGCCTTGTATAAGACCATAAAAACATATTTTAAAAAATCCACGCCTTGTATAAAACCATAAAAACATATTAAAAAAAATCCACGCCTTGTATAAGACCATAAAACATATTTTAAAAAAATCCACGCCTTGTATAAGACCATAAAAACATATTTTAAAAAATTCACGCCTTGTATAAGACCATAAAAACATATTTTAAAATATCCACGCCTTGTATAAGACCACAAAAATATATTTTAAAAAATCCACGCCTTGTATAAGACCATAAAAACATATTTTAAAAAATCCACGCCTTGTATAAGACCATAAAAACATATTTTAAAAAATGCACGCCTTGTATAAGACCATAAAAACATATTTTAAAAAATCCACGCCTTGTATGAGACCATAAAAACATATTTTAAAAAAATCCACGCCTTGTATAAGACCATAAAAACATTTTAAAAAATGTACGCCTTGTATAAGACCATAAAAACATTTTAAAAAATGTACGCCTTGTATAAGACCATAAAAAATATTTTAAAAAAAATCCACGCCTTGTATAAGACCTTAAAAAAATATTTAAAAAAAATCCACGCCTTGTATAAGACCATTAAAACATATTTTAAAAAAATCCACGCCTTGTATAAGACCATTAAAACAAATTTTAAAAAAATCCACGCCTTGTATAAGACCATAAAAACATATTTTAAACAATCCACGCCTTGTATAAGACTATAAAAACATATTTTAAAAAATCCACGCCTTGTATAAGACCATAAAAACATATTTTAAAAAATCCACGCCTTGTATAAGACCATAAATATTTTAAAAAATCCACGCCTTGTATAAGACCCTAAAACATATTTTAAAAAATCCACCTCTTGTATAAGATCTTAAAAAATATTTTAAAAAAATCACCCCTCCCCCTTCTCATTATCTTTACAGCTGCCCAAGAACGAAATCAAACCCAAGTCTATGTCACCGAATCCTGCCTGGAGAAACCCTTTCGATGTCCCCACCCGAAAATCCAATTCTATTTGTATACACGAAGAACCCAAGAAGAGCCGGAGTTTATAGATGTACTCGATGACAATGCCCTCTACTATACACACTTTAATCCACGACATCCAACGAAGATAGTCATACATGGTTTTGGAGGTGGTCGCAACCTTAGCCCCAGTCCGGATATACGAAAAGCCTATTTTACAATTGGTGAATATAATATCATAATTGTAGATTATGGTTCGGCAGTGAAGGAGCCCTGTCTTAGTCAAATGGAATGGGCACCACGTTTCGGTGGCCTATGCATATCACAGCTTGTGAAATATTTGGCTAGACATCCGAGAGGTGTACGACCGGATGATATACATTTTATTGGATATAGTGTTGGTGCTCATATTGCCGGATTGGTTGCGAATTATCTACGACCAGAGGAGGGGAAAATTGGTCGCATCACAGCCTTGGATCCAACGATTTTCTTCTACGCAGGAACAAATAATTCGAAAGATTTAGATCCCAGTGATGCCCATTTTGTGGATGTCCTTCATACGGGTGCTGGCATTTTGGGGCAATGGCATACAAGTGGTCATGCGGATTTCTATGTTAATGGTGGCACTCGACAACCAGCCTGTGTGGGATCGCCAACGATTTTTCGTAAGTTGGGGACAGAATTTTTGATTGAAAATTGCGATAAATTAATTATTTTTTTATTTCAGAAACATTGGCCTGTGACCACACCAAGGTTACTCCCTACTTCATAGAATCCATTACAACAAAGAAAGGTTTCTATGCCGGACCCTGTCCCAATCTATTTACCTATCTGATAGGTTGGTGTGAACCCAAGGATTCGGAATATGTGCTAATGGGTGAACATGTTTCGCATAAGTAAGTCAAAACACTTTGAAAAAAAATATTCTTTAAATAATCCACACCTTGTCTGAGTCCCTGAGAAGTATTCTTTAAGAAATCCACGCCTTGTCTGAGCCCTGAAAAGTATTCTTTAAAAAATCCTCACCTTATTAATTTGTTACTTTCCTCTTCTTCTCTTCCAGAGCTCGCGGTACATATTATGTAACAACAAATGCCAAGCCACCATTTGCCCGTGGCTTCCCCGGCAAGGGAAGATCAGCAACTACGGGTGAATATTTGGGAGTACGAAGACGACGCCATATCCCTAAATTTTAGAGCCAACAATTTTCGAAAGTGTTCTTCATCGTAAATTAGTGAAAAACAATTGTTTGTGATTTTAATTTTAGAATTCTTCATCTCTTCATCCACCACCCCACTTTTGTCTTGTCTTTTGTATTATTTTTTTATTGTAATTTCATACGCCATTATATTGTTTGTTACAATTCGCGTTGTTGTTGCAAAAACACAAACACACACAATTTTGTAAAATTTATTTATTTCCATTGTTTTTTTTTAAGTTTGTGGCTAATTGTTAAGTTCAAATACAAAAATAATTATTTTAATAAGGGTCCACATTTATTCGTTTTAAGTATCGTAATTAAGATTCTCTAATGAGGGTGTATTGGAAAATATTTCCGAAGGAAATTTTAAGACTCAGCCTAAAATAGTCTCCATAATTTGTCCTCATTAGAAAATCTTAAATCATGTCATATTACCATATAAAATATTATATTATTTAATTTTATTTTTAACTAAATGTACCATTTCTTTTTAATTTGTTTTAATTAAATCATAATTGTTGGGATATTGTTTTGAGTTTAATTTGTTACATATCATTGCCGAACAAATATTGATTTTCTATTTTGTAAAATATATTTTTTTAATAAAGACCATTTTCAATTTCTAATCATTAGACAATAAAAAAAGGTGTTGCTATTTTCATTTGGGAGGTGGAAAATAAAAAAGATTTTAAAACAAGTTCCAAGCTAATAATATAGTTTTGAATCCCAAATATCAAATATGTAGGATGTTTTATATAGGACCTAGGCCTACATGCGGGTCGATATAGTTCATTCTCAAACCTCACGTTCTAGCTTTTATGTCGATATCCTCCAATAGAAAAGTGATTACAACATATGGCAAAATACCGAAAATTGGGCGGTACCCTTATATGGGGGCTATCAGAAAAAGTGGACCGATGTTTATAATTTTAGTTTAGTTATTTGACACCAAATAAGAACCCAATGTACCAAATTTCAGCGAATTCGGTTGAAAAACGCGCTCAAGAACTCCAAAATACCGAAAATTGGTGGATACCCTTATATGGGGGAGATTTACTATCCAATAAGAACTCAAAGTACCAAATTTCAGCAAATTCGGTTAAAAAACGCACTCAAGAACTTCAAAATACAGAAAATTTGGGGTTACCCTTATATGGGGGCTATCAGAAAAAGTGGACCGATGTGTATATTTTTTTGCGTAGATATTTGGCACTAAATAAGAACCCAATGTACCAAATTTCAGCGAATTCGGTTGAAAAACGCCATCAAGATCCCCAAAATACCGAAAATTGGGGGTATTCTTATATAGGGGATATCCGAAAAAATGAACCTATATTTATATTTTTGGTGGGGAGATTTGCTACCCAATAAGAACTTAAAGTACCAAATTTCAGCGAATTCGGTTGAAAAACGAGATCAAGAACCTCAAAATACCGAAAATTGGGGAGTACCCTTATATGGGAGCTATGCCTAAACGTGGACCGATATATCCCATCTTCGAACTTGATCTGCCTGTAGACAAAAGACGACTCTATGCAAAATGTTGGCAATCTATCTCAATTCGTTTAGACGCTAGAGTGATTACAAAACACGGACATGCTTAAATCGTCATAGAATTTCACACTGATCAAGAATATATATACTTTATAAGGTCGGAAATGATTATTTCGATGTGTTACAAACGGAAAAACAAAACTAATATAACCTCCATACTATGGTGGAGGGTATAAAAAATAAGTTTTCGGTCCACATCAAATTTATTATCTGATAATCGCCGAAAATTATAGGCATTGTCCTTGACCATAACTGGAACCTCATGGAACATTTGAAACCAATAAAGGATATATTTTCGCCCTGTAGAATACAAATTTTGTAATGCTTATTCTTTGGTTCGATTCCCTTCTCCATGTAAAATTTCACGATGTTCGGGTCATAATTGCGGCCTCTGGATCGACCAGAAAAACGGACAAAAATCTTTACCAAAAACAATTGGCCAGAACCCATCCTACATGCAAAATTTTGTGACGATTGGTCCATACTGTGGCCTATATCGTGTTTACAAATTATAATGAACAGACGGACGGACACAGATCGACTCAGCTAGTCGAGATATGACAGTCAGTATATTTAAAGGTTGGTCTAGGACCAATATTTCGAGGCGTTACAAACTCTTGGGGCTGCACAAAGCTATAATACCCTAACAACATAGTTGTATAGGGTATAAAAATATTCGCTTTGGGAATGAATATTTTTTTTTAAATCTACGCCAATTTACATACGATTCGTTGGTTACTTTATTTTTTATGGACCTCACTTTATTTAAATCGAGGTGGCGTATGACTGGCGTCATTAGTAATACGCACCTATGTTCCATAAATATTATATCAAATACTTCACTATCTATGGAAAATGTTGTACATATGAAGTTCATTATGCATTGGCTATTTTGTATGAAGATGGTGTGCCAAATCATATTTGCATTACAGTTGAAACTGAGTAAATTTAAACTGAGGTGAATAGAGTGGCGCATGATTGATGATATTAGTTATACGGTCAAAAGTACTACGAACAAAGGAATATGTTTTCAATATTGGGATATATTAATATAGACGATTTGTTGGGGGAAAACATAGATATAGATTTGTTGTGGACTAAAAATATTTCTGTTTAAAATTAAGACCCTGGGAAATGCTTAATATGTGTTTAAAAAAATCTCCACTCTTTTAAAAAAGCCTTTAAAAATAAATGTATATTCTATTATTAGTATTGTAATTTTGGTTAAAATAAATTCAAATTTTTATGAAAATATTTTTTATATTTGATTTTAAGGAACTCATTGTATTTCAACTGAGGTTAATACGGTGGCGTATGAATGACGACATTATTTATACGACCATATGTCCCACAAATGTTAAAACAATTACTTCAAGGGATTTTTATGGAGAAATGTGAACATATGAAGCACCCATATCTTCCATATTTCGTATACACATTGTGCCCTTCGATCTGATTTTTTTTTTTTGTAGACACTCCTAGACAAATTAAATAAATTATTGAAAAAAATATCTTGGCCCCTATAAAAACCCCTGAAATTTAAAAGAAAACAGAAATCAGTAAATTCAAATTTCATTCTGTATACATTTTAAATATTATTAAAATATTTGTTATTTCAACAGAGGTCAATTAGTTGGCGTATTATTGACGACATTAGTTATACGCACCTATATCCCAAGAATTTTAAATCAAGTATTTTAAGGTATTTCTCTGGGGAATTATGAACATATGAAGTTTGTTACGCGTTATGGTGACATATATGTATTCATTGTGTTATATACACTAACCAAAAAATTATGGATTACAATTGACATTCAAAAAATTTCATCTATGTTGAATAGCGGGGCGTATGACTGATGTCATTTCTTATACGCGCAAATGTACTTCGTTCTAAAGTTTTGGTGTTTTTTTATATGGGAAAGTGTTAACATATGCGATTTATTTTAATTTTCTTGGTAGACCCTCCTGGACAAATTAAATAATAAACTTTAACAAAAAATATCTACGCTATTTTCAAAAACCCCTCAAAATAAGAAAAATAATTTCAGATTTTTTTTAAATAAATTTTTCGTATACACATGGATTACCAAAACATTATGCATTACTATTGACATTCAAAAAATTTCAACTGAACTGTGGCGTATGACTGATATCATTAGTTATAGGTATGGATGTCCTGTTATCTAAAGCCGTAGTTTTTATGTGAGGGAAATATAGTATATAATAATTTTTTTATAGGGGGAAATATTAACCAAACGGAATAGTTGTGAAATATTTGAAATAAATTGACACGGTTTAAACTTTTAAATAAATAATTTTAAGAAAATATTTGCCCTTAAAACTCCTCCAACTGAGTGGAATAGTGTGGCGTATATCTGATGTCATTAGTTATACGCACAGATGTCCTGTGATCTAAAGGCGTAGGTTTTTATAGAGAGATAACAAGACAGACTAGAAAAATATTTAAATTAAATTGGCACTCTTGGAAATTTAATAAATAATTTTAAGAAAAACTTCGCCCTTTAAAAAATCTTCCAACTGAGTTGAATAGCGTGTTGAATATGATGTCATTGGTTATACCCACAAATGTCCTGTGACCTAAAGGCGTGAGTTTTTACAAAACAAATTATTTGTGAATTTATTTAGAAAAATATTTAAATTAATTTTTAATTTCGTTAAATTCCAATAGTGAGTGGAATAGTGTGGTGTATGACAGATGGTATTAGTTATACGCCCCTATCTCAACAGAGGAAGATAGGGTGACGTATGACTGACGACATTAGTTATACGCACCTATGTTCCGCCAATTTTCATAGAAGGATTCTTGTGGCCTATTTACATTAAATTGACACGCATGGAAATTTGAAATAAATAATTTTATGAAAATTTTGACCCCTCGAAAAAATCCCAAAATTAAAAAAAAATTAATTCAGACCTTGTTTTGAATAAATTTAACATTTTATTTAAATATTTGCATTACATTCGTTTTATTTATGATTATTAATTACTTTTGTTGTTGTTATTTTATATTTGATTTTGTTATGGTGTTTGTATATAATTAGAGATTATGACATATGATGTTGTTGTTTTAACGTCACAATTTTGTGTTTGGGTGTGTTTTTAATATATCGTTTATAATAATTTACATTTTATTTAGGGATGTTGTTGTTGTATTTTCTTTATAGGTATGTAGTTTATTATTTTTTTTAGTAATGTGTGTTTTTTATATAATTTTAAAAATTAGGCATTATATTTTAATTATGCTGGAGTATATTTGGGAAAGAAACAAATATGTGTATTGAGAAAATTTTGTCTAATTTTGTATTGGTTTAATTTTGTATATAATTTTTTTTTTTATTTTATATATTTTAATATTTATTTATATAAAGAGATGAATTATGGAAAATAACACATAAGAATTGAAAGGTTTGTTTCGAAATAT